GGCACGTAGAAGGTATGCAAAAACAGTGGGTGGGCTGCTGTGGAGGAGGAATGGGATCTAGGGATGGGGTGAGGGGACAGCAGTAGAAGAGTTGTGAAAAAGAAAACCACAAGGGGGCACCTGGCTGGCTCAGTTGGTAGAGCATGTGACTCTTGATCTCTGGAGTCCTGAGTTCAAGCTCCATGTTGAGCAGAGAACTTACTTAAAAAACAAACAAAACAAACAAACCAAAAAACAAAAAACAAAAAAACAAAAAACCACACACACAAAGGCTCCAAATGGTGTCATTTAGACTAAGTTCCTAAACCAGGGCTTGATACTTAATCTAACTGCAGTTTCAACCTCCCCCAAAAATGTAGACTTACCCTGTCAGTCAGGAATTTTTCAATGAGCGCCACGAGTTGGCCACTTGGACCCTCTCCAGTCCCCAAAGAAAGATGAGGTAATCTGCACGGTAAGACCCTTGCTTTTCCCAAACAATGTAAGGATGCTAATAACTTTCTTGCCCCACCCTCCTGTAAAAACCTTCCATTTTGTACATTTCCTTGGAGCGCCCCTTTATTTGCTAGATGGGATGCTGCCAGATTGATGAATCATTTAATAAGGCCAATTAGAGCTTTAAAATTCACTCAGCTGAATTTCTGTTCCTTAACAGATTAACGAATATTGCTGCTTTGCTTCCTGTGACTGTCCATTCCCTGATGTTACTCACAGCCAAGGATGCTCTTAGAATCTAGGGAAGCATGAGGGCAGGGGTGCCAGGAAGGAAGCAAGACTCATCTTTAACTTCTCCTTTTGCCCAGTTCTCGGTGCTGGGTGGGGCAGCTTTGAGGGAGGGAAGGGCTGTGAGGAGAGAAAGTCAGGGGGGAAGGCACATGGGCGAAACACCAGGCAGGTCATGGCTTATCCCCACACAAGTTCTAGAACCATAAGGCTTGGAGGATCCCAAGCAAAATAAACACACACACACACACACCCCCAGCAATTTCCAGAACCCACCCACCACTCAGCCTGCTGGATCCCTGGGGATGGCGGCCTGTAGAGTGATCTAAGAAAATACATGGTAGGAGCTAAATTTAAAGAGGGTCATGCTTCAGCCTCACCCAGCCCAGATCAGAGGGTGTCTGATGAGAAGTAGCTGGTAGGGGAGAGGGGTCAGTTGTCGGCCGCCCAGGGTAAAGAGAGACCAGGATCCACCAGAGATGATTCTGTTACTGTGAAATCTATATTGGGAACCAGACTTCTTTGGTCTTTAGACTCGAGAATTTGGAGACCTTGATTGCTCTTTACACAAATTTGAGAGACTAACAAATTGTATTCATTCATTTAACAAAATATTTATTGGACATCTACTGTGTGCCAGACACTGGGAATATATCTGTGAACCAGACAGAAGTCCCTGCCCTTCCTGGAGAGAACATTCTGGTAGGGGAAGGCAGAATAAAAATGCAAATGCATATATAACATGCTTTCAGGTAGTGATAGAGGCTATGAAGAAAATTTTTACATGTTTAACAAACACATTGAACGCTTCCTATATGCCAGGCACCATGGTAAGTGCTTTAAAAACTTGTTTAATATTTATTAAACGCCTTATTTAATGAATTAAAGCAGGGTCTGGGATTGGGAGAGAGAGCTAATTCCGTTTGTGTGGTCTGGGAAAGTGTCTTCTAGAGGGAACTGGCCTTGAGCTGGGAACAGAAAATGAGCCAACCTCAATCTCCAGGCCAAACATTTCAGGCCGAGAGCTAGTGCAAAGGCCCTGAGGCTGGCTTTGGTGTTCAAGAAACTGAAAGAAGGCCAGTGTGAGTGGAGTTTCATGAGCAGAGAACAGAGTGGGCCAAGGTGATGTCAAACTTAGCAGCCAGTGGACAGATTCTGAAGGGCAATGGCGGCCACCATTTGGGGCTTGAAGTTTATTACCAGGGTAGTGGTTAAGCCTTGTCTTGGAACCTTTAGAATCTTGGGGACTTGGAAGTTTTCTTATCTACAGGATCTTGTGTAAAAATGAATAAAGGGCAACCTCACTAAAATGGGAGTCAGGAGGTTGGACAGGGAGAGCTCTCACGCCCTACCACTCAAAGTCAATCACAAATCCAACAGGAAGAGAAGAACCTTGCCCATGGATACTATGGAGGAAGAAAGGACGGCTTGGCTCCTCCCCACCTCAAGAGCCCAGCTAATGACAGACAGTCACAACCAGCCAATGAGACGCCACTCTACTTCCAACTCCCAGTGTGCTCCAATGGACTTTTTGTTTAAACAGCCTTTCCAACGCCCCACTCCTTCCTCTATGAAAGAGCGTACCTCCGTTGTGTTCTCTGGATTTGCCTATCTGTGATTTTGCCATAGCCTGCTTTCCCTGTATTGCAATTCTCTGCTGCTCCCAAAGAAACCCATATTTTGCTAGTAAAATACTTGGCAGTTTTATTTTTAAAGTTGACGTTTGTAATCTAAGCCATCTTATAACATTAGACTCCTAGAACCTTTGCAGTCTTCTAATTTCTCTCCTAGGCCAGAGCCGCGTCCCTCAAAACGCGGCCACCATGTTCCCTGCCGTCTCCTCTGGTCTTGATTCTAGCCTCTTGCATCCAAGGGGTGTGCCCTGAAACCGGGGAAGAGGAGGTGGGGAGGCTGGCCTACACTTTGTTGCTACAAAGTAGGTGCCAGTTCTCAGTTCCTCCTTTGCCTTGTTCTGGAGAGTTCCGGGAGGTCCCCAAACGAACCTCTACCCTTTCTGTCCATTGGGGCTTTAGTTCTGGGACAGCCAACAGGCATCTCAAACTTAATGAAACCAAATGAGAATTCCTGATTCCTTGACCTCCCGTAAAACCTGCTCCATCAGCTTCCCACCTCTGGTTCCCATGGGTTCCCTAATCTCCTTTCTAGCCTCTAGAAGAGGCATCACCATCTTTCTACTTGCCCAGGGCAACAAATCTAGGAGTAGGAGTAAAAAAATTTGTTTCACTAGAAAACATCCTTCTGGGTTATCAGATTCTGGTCTTGTTTCCTGTCTCATGCAGTAGTCTCTTCTCTCTCCTGTAATAGTCTTCTAGCAGAAAATCTCTCCTTACCTGACACCAGAACTGTTTGTATTTGACAGGTTGACCTTGATTCCTTCCTTTGCTGTCAAACCCAGTTTGTCAGTAAATCCTGCATGCTCTACCTCCATAGACATCCCAAATTTATCCATTTCTTTCTCTCTCCCCACTGCCGCCCACCGGGCTCCAAGCCACGGGTATCACTTGCCTGGACCTTGCTTACCCTAGGTTCTTGGCTTTTTCTTCACTTGCTCCCCGGTCACCTGCTGCCCCAGTCATCCACAATTCATTCACCAGAGGGTAGCCAAAAAGATCTCTTTAAATGCAAAGGGAAGGGATGCCTGGGTGGCTCAGTCGGTTAAGCGTCTACCTTCGGCTCAGTTCATGATCTTAGAGTCCTGGGATCGAGTCCCGCATCGGGCTCCTTGCTCAGTGGGGAGCCTACTTCCCCCTGCTTGTGCTCTCTCACTCTCGTTCTCTCTCTCTGACAAATAAATAAATAATATCTTTTAAAATAATAATAATAAATTCAAAGAAAAAACTAATCTGGGAGGGGGCAGGCATTGATCGGTGCTAGGGGCGAGGAGGAGGGTTTGACTGAGAAGGGGTATGGGGGGGTTTCTGGAAAGACGGTAACTGTATCCTAATAGGAGTTGGGGTCACATAGACATATGCAGTTGTTGAAATGCATCTTGGGGCACCTGGGTGGCTCAGTCATTAAGTGTCTGCCTTTGGCTCAGGTCATGATCCCAGGGTCCTGGGATAGAGCCCTGCATCGGGCTCCCCGCTCGGCGGTGAGCCTGCTTCTCCCTCTCCCACTCCCCCTGCTTGTGTTCCCTCTCTCGCTGTGTCTCTCTCTGTCAAATAAATAAATAAAATCTTTAAAAAAAATGCATCTTAAACGCACTTAAGATTTGTGCATTTCACCATATGTAAATTTACCTGGGGTGGGGGGAAATGCCCTGTAAACAAATACTGAACTCTAGCAAATGATGCATGCTGTTGTGCTTAACAGTGAAGTGTCCTGGCGTCTGCAACTGTCTAAAATGCATCCAAATAATAATAATAATAATAATATGGATGGATGCGGCAAGATGAATAGGTAAGCAACACAGCAAGGATAGTAACATGTTATTGGTGGAATCTAGGTGGTGTCTACTGTATATTTGAAAGTTTTCATAATAAAATGTTTAATGAAAGTAGAAAGGAAACTAAGTAACTATTCTGCTGAACACTCCGGCACCTGCTTGCTTTTGCAGGAGAAATACAATGCTGATTGTTTTCCAGGTCCCTGCATACCTCCCCGCTGACTTCATCTCGTACACTCAATCTTCAATGCAACAAATATTTACTGAGCACCTACTGTGTGCCCAGCACTGCTCTAGACACTGGGGCTAGAGCTTTGTACCAAACAGCATGGACCTGACATTGTAACTGTCTTCCTCAACAGAGCTCGTTGCCCTGGCAAACCTTTGAACAATTTGAGATTATCTTAATTTATGACTTCATTTGCATGTCAATATGAGCTCAGGGAAGGCAGGGCCCATCTCTCTTACTCATACCTGCATCTCCAGGCCTAGACAATCTTGTTTATGGTTGGACCTCCATAACGACTAGTTGAGAGAATATTCGCTAACATTTACTTGATAACTCGTTATCTACGCACCTGGCCCTGTTTGAAGTTGTTTGCACATGAACCCATTAATCCTGAAAACTATCCCCATTTTACAAGAGTTAACAGAGGCACCCAGAAGCTAGGCTGTGAACTCAAGCAGTCTGGCTTCAGACATCATGTTCCCAACCACTACAGGAAACTGCTAAGTGAAGGAATGATTCAATCATTCGGCATGGCCCGAGTTCAAATCCCAGCTCTGTGGCCCGGAGCCAACCGATTTATCTCCCTGAACCTCAGATTCTTTCTTGTTAAAGGTCAAGTCCTCCTCCTAGTTCATGGCGAGGATGAAGGATGCTGGAGGAAATTGGCTCCAAGACGCGCACACGCCCAACTCACACCCAGACAACCGTGAGCAGGGAGGTGGGAGCTGGGGAGGGCGGCGCCGGGTCACCGCTCCAGGCACGGGGCGTGGCCTCCTGGAGGCAAAGTCTCCGGCTTCCAGGTTCCTCCAGTGTGCTCACGCCCTACCTGGGGCCCCAGGCGCTGTCTCCGCTCCCCGAACCTGGGTGATCCGGTAGACAGCGGAGCCACAGCCGGTTCCCAAGCAGGCAGCCGCGGTGGTCTGCAGGAAAGAAATCCGGCGGCGGGGATATAATCCTGCCTGTAGGTAGCGGGAGGGGCTGGCGGCCCCGCCCACCTCCCCTCCGCCAGATTTCGTCCAGAAGGAGCCGCCGGTCTCCCGGCCCCGACCCGCGGGTAAGCGTGGAGCGTCTGGGAACCGCGCGGAGGAGCCGACCCGCGGCGATGGGGGGCTGCCGGCACCTGGACGGGGCTGCTGGTGCTGCAGCTGTTCTTGGTGCTGAAGCTGGCGCTGCCCCGGACCCGAGGCCACCTGCCCCCCGGGCCCACGGCGCTGCCGCTGCTGTGTGAAACTCCTGCAGCTCCGGCCCGGGGCGCTGTACTCGGGGCTCTTGCGGGTGAGGGGCCGCGGGGACGCCCTGTGCTGGGGCCGGGGGGGGCAGGGCCTGGCGGGCGCGGGGGATGCCCAGGGAGAGAAAGCGGAGCGCCAGGGCACAGAGGCCCTGGGGTATCCTAGAGGAGGCGGGCCAAGGGTGCAAGGGCAGAGGGGCTAGGGGCGTTCTGGGGTGGGGCCGGAGCAGGACTCCAGAGCTGAGAAGGTCCAGTGGAACGGGGTGGGGGTAGGGGGGTCTGGGGAGAGAGGACCCTGGTGTGCTAGACTCGGGCTAGGAGGGGCAGAGACTTCTGCCCGCGGAATCCTGGAGAGGATGAGAACAGGGAAGGAAGCAGGATCCGGTGGCAGGGGTACCGGGCAGAGGGGCCCACAGAACCTGGGGCAGGTGATGGAAGGAGGGGATTAAAGCCAGAGGCAGGAGCCCTCTCTCAGAAGAGAAGCGGATGCTGGGATGCTGGGGGGTTTATCTCCCGGGGAGAGGTAGCTGGGGAGGGGCAGAGAAGAAAAGCGGGAGGGGTCGCTGGCAGGAGGGGGAGGCTTGGCTGGAGGGTTTCAGGGGAGGTCAGGCTGAGGAGTTCAGTGGACGGGGGATGTTGGTGACGCTGGACGGGACCTTTGACAGTTATGGAGAGTCATGAGCAGAGCTGGGGACTGCTGGCTCCTTCACTCAGAGCCTGCCACCGCTGACCGGTGTGACTTTTGTGCATGGCTTAGTGTCTCTGGGCCTGTTTTCCCCATCCATCAAATGGGGTCATAATAATGCTTATTACATAGAGTCATTCTGAGGATTCAATGAGGCCTGGGTGAGGTGTCGTGGTGTTCTCGCTGCTCCAGGTGAAGCCCCCAGGCCTGGGAGGGACAGGGAGAGCTTTCTAGGCACTGGGAATGGGTGGGACCACTTAATGTGTAGAAACTATTCTCTGCTAAGCCTGAAAGTAGAAGCCTAGTGTTGGGGACTCTGTCGGGACCCAGCCATGACCCCGAGCTTGTTGGCCAGTGGGGAGAAAGACCTATCACCAGGCTAGGATGGGGAAGGCAGAAGGGTCAGGACCAGGCTAGGGGAAGTCCTGAACTGCTGGGACCAGAGGACGTGTCTGACCCAGGCTGTTCGGTGGGAGATGTCCAGGAAGTCTTGAAAGACGGTACGGGTTGCCTGGGCGACGACTCCTAGGATGAGCGGGAAGGGTGTTCCAGGCAGAGGAGTTAAAAAACCATGGAGGGGAGAGAAGAAGCATTCATTCATTCAGTTGACAAATTTTTATCATGCCTGCCCCCATAGTGGTTACTGGGGACACAGAGGTGACCAAGACAGATGTGGTGTCCTGTCATACCATAGGAGAGATGGACGTGTCATGGGACTGGAGGGGGGGAATAGAATTCTAAAATGAGAGGTACAGCGCTCAGAGCAGGACACAGGGGAACTGTACTGGCCCAGGTCAGGGGAGGGGAGGGAGACAGGGAGGAATCAAGGAAGGCTTCTTGGAGGAGGTGACAATTGCAGTGAGACCTGAGGATGAATGGAGTTAGTTCATCAAGTATGGAGAGGTGAGTGGGGGGGGGGATCCTGAAACCACTGAGGAAGTGAGAGGCCAATGCAATTGTAGCAGGATGAGTAACGAAGCTGGAGAAATGGGTCATGCAGGGCCTCAGTCACACCAGAGTGCTCAGCTTTGGGATTTTCTGGAGGCTATAGATGGAAGCAGGGAAGAAGTAAGTCAGAGCTAGAAGGATCCTCGGGTCGCTGTGCGGGAGCCCAGGGAGGGGACTGTGCTGTTCTGGGGCTGGGGGTGTGGGGAAGGGAGGGGGTGGTTGGAAGAGGCATCCAAGGCTCTGGCCAGGGGCCAGGGGCCAGTGGGCTGAGATAGGAAGGAAGAGAGCTGCTGACGCCAGTTTGGGACATGTTGGGAGGGTGGGCAAGGGACACCCTGGAGCAGGCTTCCAGGAGGTCCCGAGGGGCCAGCATTGTACATGTGAGACCCTGGGCTCAGAGAAGCAACGTTTTGTCCAGAGCAGACCCTTAGCTAAAGGAGGAAAATGTCAGTTCCATCCTCCTCTCTCCCGGTTCAGCTTCCAAATGACATGGGGCAGGGAACCCAATAGTATAATGTAAATGTTGGGAAGGAGGGAGGGAGGGAGGGAGGAAGGAAGGAGGAGAGGAAGGAGGGAGGAAGGAAGGAAGGAAGGAAGGAAGGAAGGAAGGAAGGAGGAAGAGAAGGAGGGAGGGAGGAAGGGAGGGAGGGAGATGGATGGATGGATGAAGGAAAGAAGGAAGAAGAAGTCTTCACTCATCCGGGTTCATCACAGAACAGAGGGAGCCTGGATAATCCCAGTTACCAGCTTCTCAGGAAAATGTCACCCTCTGCCCCAAGGTTAGGCATTTATGGAGCACCTACTGAGTCCTCAACCCTGAGCTAGGCTGGAATGGACTCAGCACAGGGCCTGCAGAGTCCCTCTCTGGCACCTCACTGGGAGGGAGGGAGTAGTCCTGGGGAATGGGGAGAGGGGCCAGTCCCTCCTTGAGTCTCGCCTTCTGCACAGGGGTTTTCTTCTTCAACGGGGAACGGTGGCGGCAGCTGCAGAGATTCACCCTGCTGGCCCTGCGGGACCTGGGCACGGGAAAGCGAGAAAGTGAGGAGCTGATCCAGGCGGAAGCTCAGGGTCTGGTGGAGACATTCTGGGGACAGAAGGTCAGCAGGGTGGGGTGAGCCTGGGGTCCCCTGCGGCGTGCCTGAGTGGGCGGAGTCCGGGGCTGGGCTGAGGGCTCTGTTCACCCGCACCTCTGGCTCCTCCTCTACCTTCCGTCTCTGTCCTCCTGTCTCCCCAGGGAACTCTGTGTCCCCAGTACTGTCACTTCACTCTTCCTGCTTCATTTCTTTCTCTATCCTTCTGTTTTTCTCTCCTGTGAAAGCCTGTCTCTGTCTTTGCCTCTCTCCTTGTCTCTCTCCCTTTCTATCTTTTGCTCAGTCTTTCCCGGTCTGTCTCTTTCCATGTGTGTTTCTCTGACTCTCCCTGTCTGTCTGTCTCTTTCCCCCTTGCCGTCTGTTTCTCTGTCTGTCTTTCTTTCCCTGTCTGTCTCTCTCAATGCCACTCCAGCACGGCCCTCCCCCCTGCCCTCTCCCCCTCAGGACGGCCCTTTGCTGGCTCAGGCCACCTCCAACATCATCTGCTCCCTCACCTTCGGCCTCCGCTTCCCCTACGACGATGAGTTCCAGGCCGTGGTCCCGGCGGCTGGTGACACCATGCTGGGGGTCAGCTCCCCGTGGGGCCGGGTAAGTGGGCGGGACCCCTGTCCAGCCACCTTTTCCAGGTAACCCCCAGAGCACCCCTCCACGCTGGTGCAGGGCCAGGCCCCATGGGAACAGCTGCCCTTCTCTCCGCAGACCTGTGAGATGTTCTCCCGGCTCCTGAAGCCCTGCCAGACCCCCACACACAGCTCCTGGGCCACTTGAGCATCCTGGCCACCTTCCACTGTCCAGCAGGTGCAGTGACACAAGGAGAGCCTGGACACCTCAGCCCCCCCATGTGACATTGTGGATGCCTTCCTGCTGAAGATGGCAAAGGTAGGGGAAGGTCAGGCTTGGAGGGGGCCTCCTGAACGGGGCTGGTGGCCTGGCCAGCCCCTACTCAGGTATAGCTGGGAATCTGTCTGTTGTGTAGACGATCTCCAGAACATTTTTCATCTGCTCAAACTGAAACTCTTGACTTGTTAAATAACAGCTCCCCAGTCCCCCTCCCCAGCCCCTGGCAACCACCTTTCTGTCTCTATGAGTTTTCCAACTCTCGGGACCCCATATAAGTGGAATCCTACAGTATTTATCCTTTTGCAACTGGCTTATTTCACTTAGCGTGATGTCCTCAAGGTCCATCCGTGTCATAGTGGGTGACGGCATTTCCTTCCTTTTAAAGGCTGAATCCTTATTCCGCTACATGGAATGGCTTATCCATTCATCCATCAGTGGACCCTTGGGGCGCCTTGGCCGTTGTGAATAACGCTGCTGGGAACGTGGGTGTACAGATACCCCTTTGAGACCTTGCTTCCCGCTTGTTGGGGGACATGCCCAGAAATGGAATTGCTGGATCGTATGGTAATTCTAGTTTAATTTGTTAAGGGACCTAATACCATTCTCCATAGCAGCTGCACCATATGACAGCCTCACCGATGGGGACAGAGCTCCCGTTTGTCCACATCCTAACCACATTGTCATTCTCTGTTTGTTTTTTATAGTGGCCATGCTCTTTCATTTTCAAAAACATTGCAGCTAAAGAGAACTATTATCAAGAGTCCACTTCCCCGCTTGCCCAAACATTTATACAAACCCCCTGATAAAGCTTGAACTTGCTGTGTCGCACCCCAGGCATGGCTGGGCTGGGCCTCTATTATTCCCTGCAGCCTGAGTTCTCTGAGCCCCTCTGCCTGGTTTCTCCCAGGAGGAGCAGGACCCAAGCACAGAATTGACTGACAAGAACTTGCTGATAACAGCCATTTATCTGCTGTTCATCGGGATGGTCACGGTCAGCACCATGGTCCGCTACACCCTCTTGCTTCTGCTGAAGTACCCTCAGGTCCAAGGTAGGAGGCTTTTGCACCAGCCAGCCCTGGGGACGGAAATGAGGGCTCAAGAGGAGAATGTTCAGGAGAAAGGAGAGCCTGAGCCAGAGCCTGGAAGCGAGAATGAGCCCGGCATCGGGGGTGTCTGAAGAGCGAGAAGTTGGGGGGTGGCTGGTGGCAGTGTGAGGCTCAGTGAAGTGAGAAATGGGGCAGGAGAACTCTCAGGGCCTTGTCGCCTTGGTGGTACCTTGTATGCCTGATCCTGAGCAATGGGGAACCATGGAAGGATGCTGAGCAGGGGAGGGCAGGGTCAAATTGGCATTTTAGAAAAATCCTTTGGGCTGAAAGAGGTAAGGTGTGCAAGAGGATGCCAGGAGCCCAGGGAAGAGGACGGGATAGGGACCTGGGCAGGAGAGGACAGTCCTGGGCCAAGTGTGGGGAGGGAAGAGGGACCAGGTGGGCAAGTAGAGCATGACCCGGGAGGCCCAGGGGACAGGGGATGGGGTGGGGGGGGACAATGGGGCCACCCTGAGATGGGGACAGAAGGAATGAGGAGCTGTTTCAGGGGAGACACTGAGGCCAGTTTGGGACAAGTGTGAAGAGCCTGGGGCCACCTGCAGGAAGGCATCCAGGAGACCACAAGACCCCTAGTTCAGGACTGGAGATAACAAACTGGGGAACTTGCTCTCAGGGTCCTGGGTTCCAGCAGCATGTTGGGGATAGAGTTTTCTTAAAAGGGGGAGGACACCTGGCTGGCTCAGTTGATCAAGCATGTGACTCCTGATCCCAGGGTTGTGACTCTGAGCCCCACATTGGGTGTAGAGATTACTTAAAAAAAAAAAAAAAAAAAAGCTGGGGTCATCAGGGCCCAGGCAGGAAGTGAAGCTGCGGGAGGGTATCTGGCTGAGAGGCAGAGCGGGGCTTGAGCTCCAGGGAAGCCCAGGATTTTGAGGTCAGGCAACTGCATTAAATGCTGTCAAGCCAGTGGGGTGGGCTGACCTGGAAGATGGGGCTTAGAGTCTGGTAGCCTCGGCGGGGAATGGAGCCCACTGTGACCAGTTCTCTGGGCCTCAGTTTCCTCGTCTGGGAAATGGGGATGGATAATGGTACCCACCTCACAGGATTGCTGTGGGAATGCACCCAGCACGAGGGACATCAGGGACCCAAGCTCAGCGAAGCCTGGGGGGACTCCTCCTCCCCACCTGCCAGCCACCCCCCCAGCCACTGCCACTTTGAGAAGATGCAGGTTCCCAGGGTAGAGTCGCAGGGCCCCCACCCCACTCTGACCTCCCTCCCGTCTCCCTCTTCCTGGGTGCAGAGCTTGTGAGGGAGGAGCTGACCCGGGAGCTGGGGGTCGGCCGCGCACCGGGCCGGGGGACCGAGCCCACCTCCCCTACACCGACGCCGTTCTGCACGAGGTGCAGCGGCTGCCGGCTCTGGTGCTCATGGGAGTGCCCCGCGCCCTCTCAAGGATCACCTGCTTCCGAGGGTGCACCCTGCCCCAGGTGGGCCTGCCCTCGGCCACACCCAGCGGCTGTCTCCGCCTCCCGCCTGAGTCTGTGGCTGGGTGTCTGACTTTTTCTGATTATTGGTCTCTATCTCTCCTCTCTGATATCTCCTCTTTCTCCGTGTCCCTCTCTCTGCACCTCTGTCCCTCTGTCTTTCTTTCTGTGTGCCCTTCTCCTGTCTTTGACTCTGTCTCTGGCCCTCACTTTCCCCATCTGTCCAACGGATATCCTAATTCTACCTCCTTCCAAGGTGGCTGGGACAATCACATGCCAGGGTTGACAGGTGACACACAGCGAAGCAATTTGAGAACTGAGGGCAGAAGGAGTCTCAAAATCAAATGAGTCCCCTTCCTTCCCTCCCTTCTTTCCGCCCCGCCCCCCGCTCCTGCCATCCATTAGAGAGCAACTCATCGCCAGCACCACCAGGGGGCGATGTCCGCCCGGAAACCCCAAGTGCCTTCCCGCAAGCGGCTCCCTCCTTGAGCTTAGTTGTAGAATCAGACCCTTAGCGGTTATGATCTGGTCCTGGTGTTTCCTCGCTGGGACCTTGGGCAAATCACTTAACCCCCTGCCTCTCCCTCTACCCCACTTCTAAATCGGGAACAGTAAGAGTATTAACTTGGGATCTCAAGGAACCTGCGAGATAATGCTTGCAAAACACCACCTCAGCTCTGGGTGCAGGGAGCTGGCGGTTCCCCCGGGTTCCCCCGGGTTCCCCGATCCTGGCAGCAGCAACCATTGCTAACTCAGTGACTGTCGCCACTCTTCATAATGATTACAGAACCACGGGCATCAATGACTTGAGCACTTGCTCTCCACCAGGTATTATTCTAAATGCTTCACGAACATAGTACCTTGTTTAATCTTTGGAGCAATCCTACACTATTACCATGCCCAATTTATAGATGAGGAAACTGGCCTTGAAGGCTGAGAAGACTTGCCGGGGTCACCCAGCCTACAATGGTAGAGGCAGGATTTACACCCAGGGCTTATGCTTTAGCCACAGCTGTCTGCCTTATTTTAATAGCCGTAGCATGACCCTGTCTTCTCCTGGAGCCCCCCCTCCCCTTCCCAGCTCAGACCCTGCTAGCCATAGTCCCTGGCAAACGAGGTGCCTCTCCCTCGCATCTCCACTGAACAGCCCTGGGATCACAGTCACTGATCTCGGCTGCCACTCAGGGACCCGGGCTGGGGAGCCTTCACGGACAGCCCTGACCTACCCACCCTTGGCTTTACCTCTGGAAGAGCCCAGTGGGAAAGAGCTGGACCCGGGCCATGTGGCTTAGGACAGCCACAGATGGATCACAACACAGTTTAAAAACAACATGTAGGGGCGCCTGGGTGGCTCAGTCGTTAAGCGTCTGTCTTCGGCTCAGGTCATGATCCCAGGGTCCTGGGATGGAGCCCCGCATCGGGCTCCCTGCTTGGCGGGAAGCCTGCTTCTCCCTCTCCCACTTCCCCTGCTTGTGTTCCCTCTCTCGCTGTGTCTCTCTCTGTCAAATAAATAAATAAAATCTTAAAAAAAATAAAAAATAAAAACAACATGTAAAAAGAACTAGCCCCCTCCCAGGTCCAGATGCTACGTTGGGCAAGTTGTGTAAGTTTGGGGGACCTCAGTTTTCCCACCTTTCAAATGGGAATCATGTTAGGAATGGCTTCATAGACCTGTTAAAAAGATTTAGTGAGTTTGAGGGCATATTTGTGTGTGTGAGAGAGAGAGAGAGAGCAAGAAACATGTGCCTATTGCATAACAGAGAGTATATAGGAAATGCTTAATAAAGTGCCTGGCCCGTAATATGCCTACGTGGATGCCTGCAGATGCCGTGGTGCTTTGTGAACTGATGTCCATCTTGTGTTCTGCCCTCGGGCCTGCGTAGGGAAGAATATTTATAATCTTATTATTGCTCCCCCTCAGGGCATTGAGGTCTTCCCCCTCCTCAGCTCTGTCCTGCATGATCCTGAGGTCTTCGGTCAGCCAGACGAATTCAATCCAGACCGATTCCTAGATGCGGGCGGACGGTTCCAGAAGCAGGAGGCATTCTTGCCCTTCTCCTTAGGTACCTGCTGGGCCGGTCCTTGTTCACCTGCCAGTCCCTCCCCACGCCTGGGTGTGAGGAGGGCTGACCCAGTCCCATCTCCCTGTTCCCTCCAGGTAAGCGTGTCTGCCTCGGAGAGGGCCTGGCTCAGGCAGAACTCTTCCTCCTTCTCACCACCATCCTGCAGGCCTTCTCCCTGGAGAGACCCTGCCCGCCGGGGGCCCTGAGCATCCAGCCAGCTGTCAGCGGCTTTTTCAACATCCCCCCAGCCTTCCATCTGCAAGTCCAGCCCCACTAACCTCCCCACCTGTGTGCACCAGATGAAGGAGGGAGGGAGCCGTGGGAGGGGGTGGCCTCCTCATGGAGGTGGGCGTGCACATGGTTGTGTCTCCAGAGCCGGCAGCCACACTCACACACCTGTAGCTGTTCTAGAGTCGGTCACGCAGACGCTCGGCCGACATGTCCCCAGGGCCCCGCTCACTCAGCCCAGGCAGCTGTTGAGACACGCAGCCACGTACCTCATGCAGCCACGAGGGCCAAGAGGCAGCTCTGCCACACAGGCTTTCTGGAGGCACAGATTTAGCTCGTCTGGAATCACGATCACGGGCCCAGATAACACACCATCCTGTACACAACACAGCCCCCCTGGGTTCACAACCCACGTGTGGGAGTTCGACCCCTTCCTTCACAAGCCACGGAAACAGCCACTGTGTTCAGGGCCCACGAGCCCTCTTCATCCAGCCACCTGCCAATTCTGGGAGCCTGGTGCAGAGGTGAACATGCCCCTTTCTGGGTCATGTCCCCGCACAGAGAGACCATCCCTGTCTTCAGCCCCAACGTGGCCTCTCTCGTGCAGCACATGACCATCGCCGTCCGCATGCCCCCAACCACCGAACCACACAGCCAGCCCACACATGACACCGTCCCACTCCCAAATATCCTCCCACTGGGACACACCATTCCTGGGGAAGGGGGAGGGCACAGCCCCAGGCTCCTCCAGGCCTTCAGCCCTCAAGGACAACCCTTTCCAAGCACCTTGATCCTCAAATTCTCCCAAATATAAATATACGTCCAGCGTGCAATTGTGCACACAGCCCTGGGAACCAAGTAAACTTGGACACACGGGGACCCTCTGATCAGAAAAACACCTCCCCCTCCTGCTTATGTAACGGTGTTACAAGTCTCCCCAGCCTGCCCCCCCACACACACACACACTGACCCACCTCCCGTCCTCAAGTCCCAGTTAGACCTGGTGGAAGGGGCTAGATGACCAAGGAGGGACCTCATTCCAACTCCCTGTGTCAGGCAAGAGGCCAGCTCTGATGTCCTTGTGACTCGAAGGTCCCCATTTTGCAGTAAAAGCTCATTTCTGGCCCCTGGTCTGGCCCATGGCAGGGCCTGGTGTGCCTGTGACAGTGTCTGTCATTGTGAGTTAAGGGGTGGGGATGGGGGGTCCGCCCCTCCCTCGAGGCTGGGCGGGAGCTAAAAATCAGGGCCCCCACCCGCCCTGGCTGTTGACATCAGTACCAGATGTGGAGGTGGGGGGAGGGGGGCCTGTGCTGGGCCTCACTTCCGGTGAGGCTGATGTGGGGAGGGGGGTGTGGGCAGGGAGAAGGTAGCCGGCAGAGCTGCGGGCCTGGGGTGGGCTGGGGAGGGGGAGCAGGGTGCCCACCCAGAGAAAGCCTGCAGGTGACGCTCCTGATCCAGGCCCTAGGAACTCTCCCAATCTGAAATTGCTGGAGCACGATTCCTAACCCAGCTCTGCGTCTTCCACAGGCTCTTTTCCTCCTGCCTTAGCTCCACAAGGAAAGCAGACACATCTTTTTATTTGTCAATTACCTAGTAAGGAAGTTTTCAAGCATGGAAAAGTAGAGAGCCTAGTACAGTGAACCCCTGTGCCCATCACCTGGCCGCATTCCATAGCCTGTCAACTTTCTGCCAGTTTCATTTCTGCTATCACTCTCATAATTGTTTTTATTTTATTTTTTTAAGTTTTTTTTTTTTTTTAGCTTTTATTTTTAAGTCATCTCTCCACCTAACGTGGGGCTCCAACTCAAAACCCCGAGATCAACGGTCGCACACTCTGCCCACTAAGCCGACCAGGCGCCCCTGTTTTTGTTTTAAAGCAAATCCCAGGGGCACCTGGGTGGCTCAGTCAGTTAAGCGTCGCCTCTTGGTTTTGGATCAGGTCATGATCTCAGGGTCGTGAGATTGAGCCCCCGTATCGGGCTCTAAGGTCAGCATGGAGTCTGCTTGTCCCTCTCCCTCTGCTCCTCCCCCCACTCAGGTGCTCTCACTCTCTCTCTAAAAATAAATAAATCTTAAAAAAAAAAAGAGCAAATTCCAGAAAATCATTGAACATGCATTTCTAATAGTAAAGGACATTCCCCCCGCCCCCAACATCTTATGACAGTTTTCCAACATGCAGCAAACTGGAGGGAATGACACAGTGGGCAGTCCACCACGCTGCTGAGCACACTGCCATCCATCTGCCCCTGCAGCTCGATTTTTAGGTTTTTCAAAGTGAACTGCACACGTGGGTTCGTCTTCCCCTGGATGCTTCAGCAAAGCATATATGATTACCTTAGAAGTTTCCATGTTTAAAAAGTTTTTCAGGAGGGGCACCTGGCCGGCTCAGTTGGTGGAGAGTGAGACTTGATCTTCGGGTGGTGAGTTTGAGCCCCACGCTGGGCGTAGAGATGATTATACATAAACAAACAAACAAACAAACAAACAAACAAATAAAATTCACACTGAGGGAAGTCTGGAATCAGAAATATCATCAGACTCCCTTAGGGAGGGATGGACCGTGTACTGCATCAGTATGAAAGCTGCCATGAGTTAGGGTCATTCCAGCAGCAAGTAAAAGAAAAATCTAAACTCAGAAGGGCTTAATAGGAATTATTGGGCCCTTACAGGAATTAATAGGAAAGGGAAAATGTAGAATTAGTGTGGTCTTCAGTTCTGTGTGTGTGTGTGCTAAAATACGTATAACATTGATCATTTTAACCATTCCTAAGTGTGTTAAGTCCGTGGCATTAAACACATCCACAATGCTGTGTAACCATCACCACTCTCCTCAAAAATGTTTATCATCCGGGACACCTGGGTGGCTCAGTCGGTTAAGCGTCTGCCTTCGGCTCAGGTCATGATCCTGGGATCCTGGGATCAAGTCCCACATCGGGCTCCTTGCTACTCGGGGAGTCTGCTTCTCCCTCTCCCTCTGCTGTTCCCCCTGCTTGTGCTCTCTCTCTCTCTGACAAATAACTAAATAAAATCTTAACAAAAAAAAATGTT